CACAGCAAAGTACCCAGGCAGCATTGACCAGTAGGTAGAAACAATTATTACCTGAACTGGCTAGTAGAACTCTGAAATTTCTTGACTTACTCTATCTGCTTCTTTTCAGTTTTTCCCTTTCTTAGTAATTCTACCTGAAAACATTACTCTCCTTCCTTCTTCATTCCACCTGTGATTCAGAAAACTTATTCTTAACTTTCTTTGCCAAAGGCTAATTCTAATCAAAGGCTGGTCCTCAGAATTAACAGCTGTGTGGTATACAGAAGACATATAGTAATTTGGCCTGAAGGAGCCTGAATAATTGTCAGCAGGGGCTGCCTGAGCATGACTCCACAGCTGTTTGTCATCTCCAATCCCAGTTGTCATGCCAAATTTTTTGCTTCATCTTATCTCTGCCACTTACTATCCAAGAAGCTATACTTCTATGTGCACAAGGGATCCTGCTCAAGAACACAGGTAAGCATGGAAGCTCTCTTCAACAGGCTTAAGAGGACTGAGCTGTCAACTACAGGCTAGTACTGCAGTGACAAAGGTTACATGCTTAGGTGGAAGCAAGCTAACCAAGCCATCAGGTAAAACAAGGGGTGCATCTGAGCAAGCAAACTGCATGCAAAATTGGTACTTGGCCAAGGCTCCTCGCTGTCAGCTGGCAGGGAACCAGAGAGCCCAGACTTCCAGGTTGGGACAGCTGTCAGCAAAGGCTAAAGCACAGAGTCCTTAGCACCATCAGTTTGAGGAGTGGCCTCAGACAGGGGCTAGATAGGAACTCTTCTTAAGTGCCACCTATTAGCAGCACATGGTGAAAGTCTCAGTCTGAAGTGGCCAGGTGAGGATCCATCCCAGTTCACATCAGAGGATCTTTCCCCCAGTTGCTCCACGAGCCCAAAATTTTGGCTTGGGGGAAAGTCTTGTTTTAGTTCCCCATCTAACAATGTGAGAGCTACTGAGTATTCCCTTCTACAAAGACATGATTGTGAAGGTGGATTTAAGTGACTAAGCACCTTTGTTTTTATCTTCCTAACAGTTAAGAGGGGAAAATGGGATGTCTGTGGGTATCTCTGACAGTTTCATCTTCTGTCTTTGTGACTCTCTACCTATGATAGGAAAAACCAACAGTGCTAGACAATATACCTCACCTTTTGCTTGTGGCCCAAGGTAGAACAGACAGTATTCTCTTGGTCCCAGTGGTTCATCCCAAATGGTATGGAAGAACCTTTCTTCCTATCACTCAAATAAGTCTATTTCTCTCTATCTTTAATAAAAATTACCTCTTACTTCTTGGATCATTTCCAAAATCCTAGTCCTATGCTTAAAATTCTTTCAACCTTCTCTCAGTGATTGGCCACCCTATCTAAAATTTCACACACACTCACTCCATATCCTCCTTCCTGCTTAATGTTTTCTCCTTAGAATTTAACACAAAATCAACTTTATATTTTACTTATTTGTTTACTGTCTGACTGCTGTATTAAAATGGACACCCCATAAAGGCAAGAATTTTTGCCTGTTTTGTTCACTGCTGTATTCCCACATCTAGAACTGTGCCCAGTACAAAATAAATTATTTGTTGAATGAATGAATGAACAAGCCAAGAGTTTCTAGCCTATGTCATATTCTGCAACTTGATCCTGCATTCTCCATCCATACCATAGAAAACTCAAAGTCTCTCATCCATTCCTAACTCTAAACCATCCTGAGATCAATTTCAGAAACCTGAAATGCAATCTCCCATTCAAACAATCGAGCCCCTTGCCTCTCTCAGTCATCTGTTTAAATCTGACTCTGAGTCCTATCAGTTTGATCTTACTACTTTCATATCTGTTCTATCATCTCCATCATCACTGGTGTTACCTTGGTTCACGCTGCCATCAATCCTGCCAGGGAATCTACTGAAACAGTTCACTAATCTATAGTCTCATACCCTTCCAACCCACAGTCCTTAGAACTGAAAGAGTGAGCTTTCCAAAACTGCAAATCAGATCACCTAAGCCTCCTGCATAAAGCCTATCAGTGGCTCCCCATTACCTATAGGATTGAACCCAAACTTCTTCCCATGTGACCCATAGCCTTCTTTGTCCTAATGAACTACTTTCAGTTGCCCAACCCATCAAGAAACACAGCTTCAAGCCTTTGCCCATGCTATTCCCACTGTACCAAATGTTTTTCCATCTACTTGGAGAGCCACTGCTCAATCTCAAGATCCATCTCAAGTACATGCATCTCTCTAAAGAATTCCTGACTCTACATACTCTATGGTTCTTAACTTTTTTGGCATCAGGAACTGGTGCTCCTATGAGAATCAAATACCTGATGATCTGAGGTACAACTGATATGGTGATGCTAGTGCTGGGGAGCAGCTCCAAATACAGATGAAGCTTCTCTCTCTTGCCCACTCCACACCTCCTGCTGTTTGGCCTGGTTCCTAACAGGCCACAAACTGGTAGGACTGGTACTGGTCTGCAGCCTGTGAGCTCACCAAGGACAAAAATTGTCATGACTCTATCTGCACATCCTCAGTGCCAGGATCATTTTAACACAAAAAAATATTTTCAAGGAGTAAGTAAATGTGCAGAAATAATGAAAGTCCACCTTTCCACAAAGCCTGTTCAGATAAATTAAAGAGGAGTGGCTTCCTTTCATGCTTCCAGGCTACTTCTGGAATCCCCAGTTCATTCTACCAGTGCTCATTTCTACAGAGTTCTCTACTGGGTATTTTTGACCCATTATCAAAAAAGGGGATGAGTTGTAAAGGCTAATGCCAAACATTGTATAAAAAAAAATCTGCCACAAACACAGACAAGCTAAAAGAAATCTTACATAAACACTTTAACCCTGTGTATGAAAAGGGTCTTCTACAAACTATGTAATCATCTCAATTTAGCAGATTCATACAACGTCTGGAGAATTGAACTGTGCAGTCTCAAAAAGGGTCAGGGAGTTGTATACACATCCTCTATTAGTGAAGTCCTGTCCACAAAGATTTTCAAAGTGAGCTGAATAAAGCAAAAATCGTGGTCTCAGGGAAACAAAAGAATACCATGCAAAAAAAAATCACCAGTTTGGATAAGCCTTCTCTCTTTCTCTACCTCTCATCTAGTTCTAAAACTCTTTCCTTGTAAGTCATACAGTATACATAAATTAAAAAGTGAATTTATCAAATTTATACTATTTGAGGTAAAAAAAAAAAGTTTACAAACCCATTCTAGCATTTTTGTCAGTCTTTAGACCTTTGACCTATAAATTGAAAATAAAATTACCCATAAATTAACAAAAATGGGTATTGCCAAAAAGTCAGACTTAGCAATTTCCAGACATACTTAATGATTATATCTGTTTTTATTTTTGAAATTCAAGTAATACTCTGTGCAAAGTACCACTTTCAGAATTTCTGTCATTGTCATACTTCATTTAACATAATACAGCACAGCTCCATTCCTTGGAATACGTCTCACTATCCCTGAAGACAGAGCCTGCAACACTCAGATCATAAAGATGCCAAAACGTCTAGCAGGAATTACATCTGCACTCCACTCCAGTGGCACCTTCAGAGTCTAGAGCAGGAGCCACCCTCCTACAGGCAAAGACACTTGTCACACTAGAATCTCTCAAGTAACTTGAGAAGTGTAGTTTCTGACCTCAACAATGTAGCTTTTAAAGCTTTCTTGGTGGAGGGAATTACAGGTGGAAATATTTTTCTACTTCATCTATAAATTCTTCAACTACTAACGAAATGAATACAATAAAGAAAAATCAGGAAAATAAAGTACCCGCGCCAGATTTCCAGTAAGTAAATGACATGGGGAACTCCAATCACAAGCAGAGAAAGAAAATATCAACTGAGTATACGGGGTTACGTCAAAACTGACAACCTATTCAGGACCTCAAACTCAAGCACTTATTGTCTCTGATTACACTATTCTCTCATCTCTGATTTAAGCTGTTACTTCTCCCTCTGAGGATTCTAGTTCCTGGGGCTTTTCACTGTGTAATTATGCAATGTGCGGGCACCACAAAACACAATATAGCTTTACAAGTTAGGCTTTTAAAAGTCAATGTAATTTTTTCTACGTACTTCCAAAATAGATGTTCCCCTCAAATCACCCAGAATATTCTAGTAAAACATAAGGACTGTTTTTTAAAAAGTGTTAGTTGTTTAGAACCCTTACTTTTGGTCCCACTTAAACATCATTTCCCAGATCTCAAAGATTTTTGTCCTATATGACGATAAGAAAAATAAAAGAAGCTCAGTGGAAAAAAAAAAAAAAAAACATCAAGAATAGCAGTAAGAAACTTAAAACTAGGACAAGGACCTGATACAAATCAGAGGGACGGGGGGTGGAAGATCTAAACACTGGGTGCATTGCTCACTTTCAAATCACTTGGTGGCTTGAGACATTCGATGTTCTAAAACGCTGCAGTCTATATGTTAAAACAAATACCATGATAAGAACGCATAGTTAAATAAAGTTGTGCACTCAGCAGTATATAATTCCATCTAATTCTCAAAAGTCCTACAGGGCTGAGCTGACTTCCTTGTTCCAGCAAAAGGAGCCCTAAACAGAGGGTTTTATTCTTTACATCGTTGGAAAAAGGCATAAAGAAATGTTTTGATGGGATTTAAGGGTAAGCAAATGAAATGCAAAGGCAATTTCTTAAAGTGCTTCAAAGTTAGGACTGCAGGGCTCCAGTCTCCTTACATTCATAAGACCTTTCCCAGAATTTCAGAAACATTAACAGCCGCCTGGTAGGAACTGCATTTTCAAAGTTCTCCTTCCTTCTAAAGGTCTCATCTAGGTCAACACTGCCACGGTGTGAACAGATCTGTGGTATCTGACTCATTGGAGGAAAAGTCCCACTGGCCCCCAGATGCCCCCACCATAAGGTGTCCCTACACCATAACTGATCTGCCTCCAGATACTGGCGCTGGAAAGAGATTGTTTTGTTTTTTCAACACAAACAGAATTGGGGAGGGAGATGACCAGGTAGAGAAATGCACATACCTTTCAACTGGTCAACAACAACGCTCTGGCCGAGGCGTTCAGTAACTCTCCCATCTTCCATTTCGTACCGATCATCTAGGTATTTTGCAGTGGCCTCAGAAATGTGAACCTTGCCAGCCACTCCCAGCTGCTCCATGAGATTGGCCAGGTTCACATCATTGGACCACACATCGAATTTGAACCTCCTCATGCCCAAGATGCCGCACAAGACAGTCCCTGTGTGAACCCCAACACGCATGTTCACCATCTCTTTCTTCTCCTGGCAGAAGTGCTCGATGGCTCTTATCATGCCCAAGCCCATTTCGATGCAGCAGTAGGCATGGTCGGCCCGGGGCTCAGGGCACCCTGCCACGCAGTAGTAGCAGTCTCCCAGGGTGCTGATTTTCTCACACTTGGTCTCTTCACACAACCGGTCGAAGCGACCGAACAGATCATTGAGGAGACCCACCAGGGCATGAGCAGACTTGTTGGCACTCATCTTAGTGAAGCCTACGATGTCTGCAAATAAAATACTGACCTCTTCAATCTGCTGCATCTTAAACGGGCGGAATGCTATAGGGGCTTTCTGTATGGAAGATTTTTTCTTCCTGTTCTTGGGGCTGGAGGTGGCGTGCCTTTTCACAGAATTCTCGCTCTCCTCATCCCCCTGTTTCATCAAGTCATCAGCTATGATTCTTGGCATCACAGAATGAATCATCCTTTCTTTCAGGGCTTTTTCCACTTCCAGATCCTTTCCATGCATAATGGACTGTCCTACCTTGAGAAAGGTGCTCCTGGATCTCACCTGGGACATGATGAATAGGTGGATCCCAATGGCATGAATACAGACGTGGAGCAGGGCTCGGCTCAACAGCTCCCAGTGCGGAGGCCCTGTTTCAGGTGAGGGGAAGCAGTCTTCACCTTGGAAATGATAGCCAAAGGTCTCAAAAAGAACAGAATAAGACACTCCCAAAAACAAGCTCAAGTACAAAGGTAAGTGCATGACGGTGTAGAGCAAAAAGAGCACTTCGATGCACATGGAAAAGCTCCCCACTTGAGATAAGCAAGTGTCTGTGGGCTTGGCTGTGAGAGTATGATTGGAGCTGTCAACACGTCCTGAGAGAGGCGTCAGAACCTGAAACTGGGCAGCCAGGGTCAGGGCGAATACCAGGAGGGTGAGAACCAGCGAGGTCCCCACGTAATGTCGGGCATACAGTTTGGTGAAGGTAAACAGGAAAAAGCCCACACACACCACGAGGAAGCACAGAGCAGGGACTGCCATGACAATCAGTTTGGATCTCATGTGGACCCCAAAATAGATGCTCCAGAGCAGGCAGGCGAAGCCAATGTAGAAGAGAGCGTACCGGAAGCGGCGCTGGGTCTGCGGGAAGCAGCGCTCAAGGCAAGCCTCCTCCAGGTTCACCGAGTCGAATTTGGGGTCCCACCACCGGCTGGAGGCCCTCTCGAACAGCTGGGGCAGTTTCTTCTGCCTGCGCAGGCGGCCTCCAGCGCCCACTCTCCGGGGAACCCCGCCTGAGTCGCCGGAGCTGCTACAGCTGGAAGAGATGCTGTACTTGCAGTGTTTGGGGTGGCTGATGGACGATAGCTGCTTGGGGTTGATTTTGACCCTCACGCTGTTGCTGTCTCCGCTGGAGTCACAACTCACCTCGGTGCTGTGGTGCTGCAGCAGCTGCTGGTGGGGCGGGGAAGCCATGTTGCCGCGCGCTCGGAGCCTTCCCCAGCCGGGGTCACCGGTACCTGTCAGCGAGACAAGTAGAGTTAGACTGGTGTTTATTCCCACCCAGGGACACCCACCTGAAGGCCATAAGCTCTATCCATTTCCTAAGTGGAGGCTCCAGCAGTCCGTTTGCAAAGGCACCATATGCTCACAAAACCGCGGTAATCTCTAATCAGCTCTTCCACCGTCCCACCTCGAGGCCGACCCCAGTCACCGGGAAGCGGTCCGGAACGCCCAGGGTCCGCGAGGCGACGGCCACTCAAGCCCTCTGCGCCGCCCTAGCCGCACCTCCCCTTATGCACACTCGCCTGCTGTGCCTGCCGCGGTGGCTGAGGGGAGTCCAGCCCCGAGCACTCTCACGCCGCCCGCTGCTCTGACAAATGCGTTTTTAGCGGGCCCCTCATGCTGCGCAGAGCACGGCGCCTCCACTGCGTCAGGCCGCCGGCCGGACCCCTCGGTCCCGCCCGCGCTCAGCGGCCCCGCGGGAGGCGGGCAGCGAGTTTG